AACACAATGTGACTGAGCCCACTTTTGAAAAGGACACCAATTAAGATTAAACTAGCACTATCTATTGCAATAGTGGTATTGCATAACTTGGATGCTACTTGCAGGCAACTAATGTTTGCCTTTAGGCAACTAATGTTTGCCTTTAGGCAACTTGTATGTCTTTGCTTTTATGGAAATGATCTAGGCACCCCTAGTTTCTGCAAAATTACCTTGCACAGGTACCAAGTAATGCTTCTAAGAGCACAGCTTTAAGCTAGTGACTGAAGAGGTGAAAAACTATTTGTACAAAAGCAAGAAGCAAGATTGTTGTTCCACTCAGCCTATTTACAATGCATGGGGGGTAAAAAGAAAAGGAGATGGTAAGTTCAAATTAATTCCTATGAGAATCTGAGTTTTCCGAATACATTACTTAGCAATTCAGCCATTCAAGATTGTGCTAATGATCCCAAGTATCTGCACATTTAGAGATAGATAGATAGATAGATCCCATTAAAACATCTTTTTTTGGTTCATGTTGCTTCCTTAAAACAATAACACAATTGTGGATAAATCTGGAGAGCCCCATTAAACTCAATTACTTTAAACAAATCAAGCTACCTTAAATTACCTGTAATTACCTAACTATGTATAGACTCAAAGCTACAAGAAGGACCTCAAACCCCTCCCCCCATCCCCATTTCAATTTTGGATTCCTTCATTACAAACTTATCTCATAACTTTGTTTGTTATTGCACAAGAAGGATGTGGAGTACAGTAGAATTCATGAATATCAAATTTTCCACCCCTGTGATCAAAGATGCTGTTCATATGATCTTTACGTTTGAAATTATTATCAGTACAAAAGGGCATAGAAAAAACTTTGATAGCAGTTTCACACAACCTCCTGACTGTCTCATTAAATTGTACTTCTTTCCCAAATGTCATATTTCATGAACCATAAAAAAGCAATTCACAAAAATTTTAGTCAAAGATTTTTTATCATTCCACATCTTAGGAGCTAAAGTGTGACATTTCAACAGTCTCTTAAGCCTACTATCACCACCCATGTTAGTAATCAGCAGAGATCTTCAGGCTTAAGAGCAAGTAATGCAATGAGTATAAGTTTCTCCAACAAGAAAAGGAGGTGAAACACACAGTCAGGTATCTACTACTTTGACAGGATTAGATTGAATTTGTCACTACTCTGTTTCTAATTTTGCTAGAATTTCACACTGATTGAAAAAAGTTGCTGACAAAAGAAACAATATGCTTAGAAGCAGGAAGTTTGACAGCCAATTTTCATCATCTCCTTTATGAGACTGCACATTGATACAATGTCCCTGTAGCTTTGGACATGTATAACAGTAAAGGATGCTTTTCATTGCTTCCATCAACACACCTGAATCATTGCACAAAGATCACTGTGGCTTCTCACTACGCCTCTATCTAACCCTTTACAGTGCTTAACTTCCATGAGTGACCAACACAGAATTTCTCCTTACAATATCAATACAATATCAAGCAGTCAAGTGACGAGAATAAAGAAAAATGTCAAGTAGGGGATGAGTACTCAATCAAATGCTAAATTCTCCAAACTTACTTCATAAGAACTGCATGACAGAGAGTAAGGAGAATTAACACTGGGATCTTGAGAGTGAAAAGGTTCAATGAANTTCATTCAGGCCAAAACAAACACTTCTCTTTACAATAAATAACAAAAAAAAAACAAATCTAAGATTAAACAAAATTCATTCAGGCCAAAACAAACACTTCTCTTTACAATAAATAACAAAAAAAAAACAAATCTAAGATTAAACAAAATTCATTCAGGCCAAAACAAACACTTCTCTTTACAATAAATAACAAAATATGGTGTATTTCAAGCATGGTGGCTGACAAAGGAAGATGTTATTCTCCTGTCATGGCCATGGGACTATGAAAAATTTGAATTCCAGAAGGATTTGAATCCCTAGACCTTCATAATTAAAGACCTAGTAATAGTCTTGCTGACTGTAGAATCTCCGTATTTCGTTGGTAGTGCATTGGTGTGAAGAATCCCAAGATCTGAGGTTAGATTCCTCATAGAGATTTTTCCTGTGTCCCATGCTCAAGATAGGACAAACCATCTCTTTCTACTGAGACCTTCTATGCCCTATTGCTGCACTACAGAAAACTTTTTGGTAAGCAAATACTATATACAGCAGTTTCATATGCAACCAGGACACAGTGCTGCAAGAGTCAGATTTTTTTTTGGTCTCAAACTCCTCATAAGCAATCAACACTTTCCTCAAAAAAATTCTCTTGGCTTGTTTCCCTAGTTCATAATTCCTAGCTTCCACTGTCATTCCACTGATGCAACATATGTTGCTGATGCAACTCGTTTATGTTTTTACATAAAAATGTTTTACTAAATAAATATCATCATTTTCAAGACGCTTTCCTTTAAACCCCTTTCAATCAAAACTCACTATGCACAAAAATTAGCAACTGACTTGTAACCTGATAACTGATAATTACAATTTCCTTGAAATAAATGTACTAAGTTTCTAATCAGCGTACTAAAAGACACATGGAAAAAAAATCGAAGAAATCTGAATCATCTGCACACACAGTAAAACAGGTTTACGCACTGATCAATGAGGTACACAATACATGATAATCGAAAGCCTACACGCATGTTAAGTGTGCATTTTACACCATGACAATCGACAAGAATCTTGTTTACACAAACAGATTAAGAAATAAAATTGAAGACATTTCTATACGAAATCATCCCATTGACAAACAAAGAGTAAAGAGCATATTAAGTAGTAAGAAGGGAGAAATTATCGGGACTTTTTACCAAAAGTCATTAGTTAACTGCATGCATCCCTCAATATCGAGCAACCAACATTTTACAATCAATCAGAATCAATCTCACCCATCCTCCATGCTGAGCAATCCAGCGAGCAATCCGCTCGTTGAAGATAAAATCCACCACAAAACGTATGATTCTACGTAAAAAACTTCCACTAAAGCCTCTGCGTATGACAGTCACAGCAATTTCGTAGCCAAAGCAAAGTAGAGCAACGACTCTTCCCCAATTTATTCCCGTACGAAACAACCTCCGAGCGACTGCGGCAAATGTCTCGTAAGCCGTTGCTGGTGTTAGGCTTAATGAGTCTATCATATCCTTGAATTGATCTTTGTATTTAGCATCTATTTCATCACCTATCTCTCCTAGGCGTCTACCAATAACCGGTACATGCTGTGAAAATGGATGGATATCATTGCAAGAACGCAATTCTTCCAGTGCGTCGGGACGTGCGCTAGCCGAGGGACTATCCATATCACCATGTTCTTCCCCTCTTTGTGTCTCATCCTGAAAGCGTTGGAACATAAAATGTCTGAAAATCCCTTCAGTATCTTGGAATACAGTTCTCTCGTCCTCGTTAGGCGGAATATCCTGATTATTATCATCTCCTCCACCTGAAGCCATTTTCCCCCAACCACCAGATTTCGAACCTTCTGAGCACACTGTGCACCACGCCAGCGGAAACTGTCAAAATGATTCCGTGGCACTACTCGGGACGCTTGCGTGCACCACCCGTTTAAGAAACCTTTCCACCACCCTACTTCGTGTGAAGTTCGCATGTTTATTATTCAGTCAAGCTTTTAACCCATTTATATGGGTACTGCGAATGGAGTTTGCTAATCACACTTCTGCTGTCAAAACTTAAAAACCTGAAGGCCTCTTATGATCCTAACTCTGAATGACTTTTTAGGGACTTTAAGCAGTCAGGACGGCAACGCCACGGAAGACGTCGATTAAAAAACGAGTTTCTACTTTTAGTTAGAATTTCGAAAATGGCTGCATTTGTTTACCGTCTCATAGGGCGCAAGACCTCGAACTCAACATAACGCATAAAAGTAGCGTTGAGTTCCAAATGTAAATTAAAATAACTTGCCGCCGCGGCTTAGCTTCACAGACGACGCGAATTTTTGTGATTTCACGCTGTTGTTTTGCAAAGGACGGCTAAGAAATGTACAAAGTTTGAAAACGCACGTGCTGAGCTATTGTTCTGCCAATTAGATCTATTGTTTTTCCACGTTCTCGTTGCCGTAGCCGTCGTGGTTTGCTTAAAGTCCCTATTAGTAATTTTGAAGAGGTGACCAGGCGACTGTGTAAAAACCAAAAATTATTGATTTCATTTCCTTGAGCTAGCACAAGAATGGAGCCTTAAAGCTTACCACGGTAACTGTACAACAAGTTGAATGCTGAAAGAGATTTTCCTTACTAACACAATGACTGTTTGAACTAAATCATGTAATTTGTGGTGATCCTAATTAGCATAAATTGATATTTTGCCGGCACGTATCGGAGGACTGGGGGTGGCTGCGAGGTACGCAGAGAGTTATGGGATCGTGGTTTGTAAGCAGAGGTCGAGGTCAGGGGCGCATCCAGGCTTAAGTCAAGAAGTTTCGGAGAATTGTCCGAAGGCATGCTTCCCCGGGAGATTTTGAAATTAGGTCTTTGGAAACGTGATTTCCAACATTTTGAGGGAAAGTTTAGGGGGTTCGACCGAACCACCCGAGCCACCCCTGGATCCGCCCCAGTCGTTGGTAGAGCAAGGCATTCTGCGGTCAGCCTTCACCGGGCGTAGCTGTTCGTTTCCGTTTTCGTATTTTGTATAAATTTAGAGCGGTACTTGCATAGTACCTAAGTAGCTATGTAAAAATGTCATTTATAGGATACCCTAAAACGCCAAGGGTGGCACCACTGCCTTGGTCGGAAGTACACGTTCCCCGTTTTTTCCACCCGCTGGTTTTTAGGGGTTTTCGTGTCCGGCTTTGGTGCATTTAGTTTACTTCTATTGTAATAGGCTTCTGTTAACATATCGACTTGGATGGAGTTAAATAAAGGGTGGCTTGGCTGGCCAACCCGCCCAGATATCAACTCTTTGTGTGTCCGGTTGAACAATGAAGGCAAAATCTATTCTCTCCCCTCCCCGCTCCTTCCCCTCCCAGCTTATCCCTTATAGATCCTGGGAAGCGATCCGTAACAGGGTGTGTGGTTTCATTTTGTTTAAAAGTATCTTGTTAAGGACTGAGAAGCACGAATATCATGACTCGTCGGGCAGAAATTTTGTTTACATGGCTCTGCATAGCTTTGCTCTGAATCATGGCTTGTGTGGGAGTTCTATCTCTGTTAGAATTTGGTTGAAAGATGAGATTTTATCGCTAGAAAAAATATTTCTCTTTTTCCTTGGAACGAGGGAACTGTGCTTCCTCTCCGATTTCACTTTTAAATCAGCCTTAGAGTTTGTAAGGGTATTTTAGCTTTCATATTGTGATTAATTAATGGCAGGGAAAACTTTAAACATAGGAAAATGCGGCTATCTTTAAAATGCGGCTATTTTTAAAATTGCGGCTTTTTGCAACCCCCACAGCGTATTTCAGAATACAGCTGTTAATTTTTGCCACCTGCTTGTCAAACCTGATACAATGGTCAAAACCGTTAGCAAACGTTTACCTTTAACTCGTCAATGATTCTGTCATGTCATTGGTTTAATATCGTTCTTGGCTGGAAGCGGGCAACCCAGGATCTCCTTTGTTTTCCTAGTTGCGTTTTGAAAAGACTAAATTGAAGCCTAAAGAACTCGTCTATGTTTTTCTTTTCGCCATTTAACGAGGGATTACCATGCTTGAAACAGTCATTACGTGCTCGTGGGTTAATTGGGTCGAAACAAAGAGCTAAAAATTGCCTGCGGTGCGTTTTCGGTTCTGTTATTCTGGGGCTTTGATAGTTATCATAAATTTATGAGCTTTAGGTCTTCACCATGGCTACGGCTGGTTTATCACAAGAGGTTAGTCTCAAATATCGATCGATCACTTTTGCGGTGTAAAGATTCAATGCGAAAAACGTGTCGTCACGACTGTTTATCACTGAGTTAAAGCTGGTATGTCGGCGTTAAAAAAACGAGTTCGCTTTACTGAAGCAGGAAATGGAAGGCATTCATCGCTAGACGAAACTTTGCGCGCAAAAAAATTAGAAACACCAAATGTTAAAAAAAAAAAGAAGAAAGCGAAAAAGACGAAGCTGCAAGGGCTCAAAGCGGAGAAGAAAAAGCTCCAAAGAGACCTGAAGGAAACCAGACAAGGAATATTGGAAGACAATGAACGAAAAGCAAGCCCGGATTATACTCCGTACGAGAATCGCCAAAGACTAGCACGCACAACCAGCGACACACTTTCCAAGCTACAAAAATTGGAGGGACAAATATCAACAAAAGAAAAGGAGAAGAAGGCGAAAATCCAGGGAAGACTACATACTAAGCTTAAGAAAAGATCTATTAGAGCAGATAAGCAACATAGTCGACTGATTAAAATGACTACACGATTGGAAAGAATGAAACTGGGCGAAGATGAACTCCGCGCCGAAATAGTACGAGAAGCTATAGAGCGAGATGAAGAAAAAGTGCGTCCTACATCAGAGCCAAGAGTTCGACTGCCCCGCATAAATGCCTCTTCAGATGAATGTATGAGGCAAACAGAAGGGAAAACTGAGGTATCATTGTCTGACCTTGGAACAGAGGGGAAGCAAGATTATTCTCGTCCCTCTTCTGTTTTAAGTGAATCTGCGCTTCAACTGAGCTCTACGGAGAAGGAAATCGTAGCGAATAAGCTCGCTCATAAGTATGACATGACTCGTGATTTGAGAAACGCGATTCACGAACATATGATATCACGTTCGTACAGTTTCTCGTACTACAATATTATTCCTCCATACAAACGGAGAAAACCCAAGCCGCAGAAGACTAAACAAGTTTTCAATCGCCTGGTTTACGAGGACAAAATCGGAGTTATGGATTTCAGCAAGTCGTATCCCAAAAAAGTTGTCCTAAGTACATGAAATTTCGGTGTAACTTCCATTCAAAAAACATTCGCCTTAATTCAAGCGAACACACCTTTGTTTCTTAAAATAACTGCTCTCAATTATTGACTGACGTTAATTGTAACATTATCAGAAATTTGAAACATTAAACTATTGAACATTTTTTATGTGACAAATTTCTATCAAATGTGGTAATTCCTCTCAAGGGCGATATTTTAATTCTATTCTTCAGTGAAAAGTGGCTTTTAAGACTTCAAATGTCCGTAAAGATCGGGAAATAAAGTTAAGTCAACACACTGAATCCATAGTAACTAAGCAACCTTACGGTTTTAAAAATTATTGATCCTTCTGCGCTTCATTAACAATTGTTTGAAAACCAGTATATGAAGTTTTAATGCTGTTTGAACCAAAAAAAAACTAGGCTATGGTATCGCCAGGTATACCAATTAAAATGTTAGTGCTAGATCTATGAGGCTTAGGATTAAAATCACGTTTGGTCCTTAATTTTTTGCTTCTTTTAGTTTTGTTTTAACCTCTCGCATCGCATAACGAAAAAAAAAAATGAAAAATGCTATCTTTTTCCTATCTGAAAGCTCGAAACGCTTTGATCCCTTGTACAGCTGGTAAATTAAGCTGTTGAAGAAGTTAGTTGACGTTGACAGGGAGTTAATGACTGCGGAAAACTTGAAAAAGACGACAAATTTTGTTTTGCGTGGCTCAGTGTGTAGACATACGTATTTAAAAGTGTGTCCCAATTAATGTAAGAATTGGCGAGAATTAATATACTCAGGAGCCCATCCTGACATACTACATGGAGATACGAGACGAATCAATGGCCTACAGTCCAAATCATCATAATCGAACAAGATATCTCGATTCTAGATCTCAAGTACCTTTGTCTCAAACAAATCAAGAGAAATAAGTTCTGGTCAGGTTAGACGTGGATGACAGGGGATGAAAAGAAATCACGTTGACTGGTTTAGCTGTAAGAAGGACTTCGTATGTTTTCTCGTACTGATGAAAGGGGGGAGGATTTTAGGGGGGGTCATATGGTTTTCCGGGGAGAGGTGGGGGGAAGAGTAAATAAGTATTAAGTAAATATTTATTTCAATAGGGTGCACGGTTATAGTCAAGACCGTATTCTCCCTTATGGCCCTATGAAACTGAATACAATAATTCTAGTTACAGACATTTAAAATACTAAAATAACAAGGTACTAAGGATATTATAAAACTTAAGATCCCAGAACTTAAAATCGCATTAATAAAAAACTAGAATGTTCTGTCAGTTTTAAAACTATCAGGTGCGAACTTACACATAATGCAGTCAAAGTAGTCTGAACTTCTTTAGATCGGCGAAATAAACAAAGTCATCGTCGTTAACAGAGTTTAAAGCGGGAACGATAAACAAATTGACTGCCATTTTACTGCCAATACGAGGGGGTCATAATAATTAATAATATTACAAAGCGTTATAGGGGGAACATGTAAATTTTTTGTGTGACACAGCCAAAGTCCTTCGACTTCTTCCTTCCCTTTCCAAGGCGATAGATAATGACCATTCCCTTCATGTCACTTTGTAGAATTACATTGAACAGCTTTGGTAACTGCATAAGTCAGTATTAAACGGATTTAACCTTCAATTAATAGTATAAGGCGGCAAAACCCTTTGGAAATGGACTGGCGAAAAAGGGCTTAAGCTGAAAGCGATACGAAGTTAAAAAACGTTAAAGGGGAAGTGAAGCCAAAAATTAATTTCTGGTTAGCTTTGGAGAAATAAAAATTCTTGGTAGTTATTTTCATTCGCTTCCTGATATTTATGAAAAACCGCTTTTTCCCGCCCTTGCATTCGTTAACTGTGGGCTCAAAACGATTAGCCTGAGCGGTCGAATGTGACGTCGGTGGTGGGAACACTTGCAAAGGTCACATAGCAGCGCTTATACCGGTATTCCAGTAGATACTTTTGCTCGTACGTGATTGGCCGAAAAACGCATCACGTGACCGAATATCATCAATTAAAACTGGGTGATATCCGAGGAGATACCCCAAGAGATATTCCCCAATTTTCAAACTTTAGGCCTAGTACGGGAAAACTCTGCACTTAAAATTCAATTCAAGATTAGAAACGTCGCGTGGTTATTACTTAAGAGGGAACATGTTTCTTTTTTGTTCATAAAATCGTATCAAAGAAAAGAGAACATCCCACGCCGTAAACGGTAAGCTGTTTGTGAACATTTTCCCCGTGCATTGAAAAATATTTGGAGGATAATAAACACAATAGCCTCCATTTGGCACGGAAGTATCCTCGTTCATTTCCTTGGACATCATCTGTTCCTCGAATCGAATCAGATTTCACACTAACCCTGGGTTATCTAAACCCAGCTTTAAACAACTAGCTGGCCTAGCTGAAGAACCGCTCGGAGAGTAACGTTAGTACAGGGCCATAGATAATGGCGCCATTGGTCTTTGTTGTTAATTAGTCGGGAATCTTAGATCTACAATACATCTTCTCGAGCGTATTTGGTGAAAGGTCGCTGCGTCTACGCCTCTGGGGAACTTGGGTACTAGCCTTAGCCCCAGTAGAACACTGGGATACCCACATGTAGTGACTGTCATCATATTTTTCTTCGGTTCCGTATTTTCTCTTGTAAACTTTTGATTTCTTAATTTCTCCTCCAACTTCTTTTACTATGGACGTGACACAGATTACCAACGGTGGAACGATTCCTATGCGAGACGCAGATGCCATCAAACTGTTCATAGGGCAGGTCCCGAGGACGTGGGATGCCAAAGATCTGAGGCCCTATTTCGAAAGCTATGGACAAATACACGAGCTCACGGTGTTAAGAGACCGAATAACTAAAAGTCATAAAGGTAATCTGGGTTTTGTATTTCTCTTGATATTTTGTGAGAAATTTCTGATTTCCCTATTTTGTAGGTTGTGCATTTCTAACATTTTGCTCCCGCGAAGCTGCTCTGAACGCCCAAAAGGACTTACACGAGAAGAAAACTTTACCTGGGGTAAGCTTCATTACTACAAAATGTAGTTGTTAAAGGGATTTGTCGACAAATACCCATGGGGCGTGCATTAGTATTTATAGCCATTCTTTTGGAATATACATTTTTGTGACGATCAGCCGCAGATCCTTTGCTTGGTAGTTGAACTCTTGCCGACCTTCACTACATTTGTTGCAATCTAAGTTGATAAGTCTGTAATGTTTCCGCCTTCTCTGTTTTTGGTTGATGAAACGTAGAAACTACGTTTCTTTGGCAATTTTTGTGATCGGGCTGCCTGAGTGGAATGCATGATTTGCAAGCAGACGTTAAAAACTAGGCTTAGTTATAAGCACAGTCCAGTCTGCATGCCACTAAAGGGACACGAGAAAGAAATCCTGCAACTTGATGCACTTTCTTTTCTCTTGTGATATTACGGTGAAAGGAGGTTAGACTGTTTGTTTTTGTAACCAGTGACAGCGTTGGCTTAATTCTTGGTACTTCCTCGGGAGTTACGGGAATAAACTGAATATCGTATTGACAAGTTGTAAACTTGGGCGAGGGCATCGTACATGGTCTGAGAAATGTTTTTTACGGTTTGATCTCTTTGATGTCTGCTAAAAATTGGGGCTGAACTTGATTGAAGTTATAAGATTGAGCGTTGTAGACCTCTTTGACTTAGAGCAAACCTTCAGTAGTATTGGTCTTTCTTCCTTAAGAACAATTTGGATTATTGTTTTATCTTAAGTGACAAATTCACGTATTACTTAATGTTGAATTGGAAATTTTTGATAAATATTGATCATTTACACAAGCTTGTTAGAGGGAGTGACATAATGATTTGTTCTTGAAAAATCTAATGTAAAGTTTTCAAGTTTGTTATTGGCAATCTGTTCCTTTTGGTTTATTCTCAACTTATGTAATTTAGTAAGGATATTCCCCAAGGCAACATGTAGAAGAGGTGTTTAGTCTTGTCTGTTGATAAATTATGGTAATTTTTGCAAGGTGTCTGTACTAGTGAAGGTTCTAGAATGATAAAAAATGCAATTAACTGAGAGGTGTTAGGGGTTTGAGCTATAAAAGAATGTTGTACTTGTGATGATTTTAACCTCCAAGGATTAATGATTTGTCACAACATGAAGTTCAGAGTCATAGAGACTGTGTCCACTGTTTTAGGGCAGTTCAAAAAACTTTTAAGATCCAAACTGTCGTCCTCTAAAACTATGTGTGAGAGATTGTTCAGAACTTTTTTTTTCTAATCCTTTGATTCCCATAAGTGGCCAAGACAGAATTTCCCCTTATGATATCAATACAAATTCAAGAAGACAAGCAATGAGAGTAAAGCAAAAAAATCAATTATATGGGGATTATTCATCGATCAAATACCAAATTCTCTTAACCAAAGATAATTGATAATGAGATCTGGGGAGCTGAAGAGTTAAATGCATTAAATGTTAAAGGTGAGATCTTACCCTTGAAACCTAACTGATTTACAACTTTTTGAGCAAGCCTTGGAATGCTTGTTAATACCCATTCTTGCAAATAACCTTTCAGTTTAGATTGGATTATTCATTGTCATATTGATATAAGGGTTTTTTTTTTGCCCAACAGATGCAAAATGCAATGCAAGTCAAACCAGCAGAAAGTGAATCTAGGTCTGGTAAGTTGAGAAAGTGGGTATGAGAGATGAGCCAACACTAGCTTCATTTTGTACAGAAAATATCGAAAATATGTCTTTTTCTATCAAAACTCAATAAACTAATGAGCCCTGGAGGGAAACTTCTTTAGAGTAGTATAGAGTGGACACACTCTCCATTTCCAGGAGTGATTTTAATCTTCTTGTTTTAATGGCATTAAACCTGTGATCAGTTAGGTTATAAAATTGAAAATTATGCATTTTGATTGTTTGTAGAGTCGTACAGTGATACCTTAGAAATCATATCATTAACAAGTTAAACATGATAAGTGTGGTGACAGTTTCTGTGACTATGTAAGGCTCCTTCACATGTCCTTACTTCTGTTTATTTATGTTATTATTTTTTCATTTAATCTAACCCTGAGCAGTTTTCAGATGTTTTTGGGAACTCATTCACTGGTACAGTTAGTTCTTTGAAACCTCTTAATTTAGTTTGTATCATGTGCAGAAGTTCTCTGCAGAACTCTATGATGAAACCTTTTAACCATTGCCCCTATTCAGGGCTTGAATTTAATTTTTGGATCACTAACCCTTTGGGTTAGTAGACATCTTTTTTACTAACCAAATTATAAAGTTTGGTATCCAAGCTCACAAGTTGCGATATCTCAAATATTGAACATTTTGTTAATAATGACTAGGACAAATAAAGAGTAGCTGAAGTTGCATGGTGACCTTAAAAACGTTGACAATTATTCACCTATTTTATTTCCCTCTCATTTACCATGATTAAAGAACTCTGCATAAATCAATGCCGAACTGCTAGAACCTCATTAACAATAATTTCGAAGCAAATATGGCAGATCTGACAAAGTTGTGTCCAAATCCTCACATTCAACACAAATTTGCATCCAGGGCCTTATCGCTCAAAATGGCCGTAAAGCTCAATTCGATCTCAAAGATGGCAAGAACAAACTGTTTGAAACAGAAAACAAGCTAATGCAAGTAAATAACACATAAATTGTCCCTAAAACATTATTTATTTGCATAAAAGTTATTTCCATAACATACTTTAAATATGTTAGAAAATTTTACTAACCATTTTGGGT